GCCACCTCACTCTTCAGGGCCCAGGGTCTATACTGTAGTCTATTATGTGTGTAATAGCATTATGAAGAAGTTTGAAATAGTGTGAGAATTACCAAACTATGACCCAGAGCCATGAAGTGAGCACATGCTGTTGAAAAAATGATACTGATAGACTTGCTCAGACCATAGCATTGTCCAATCCTTCAATTTATAATAATTAAAAAAAAAAAGAATTCAGTATCTATGAAGAACAATAAAGCAATAAATAAAATAATGTATGTGGTAGCGTAGTGGTTACGAATCGGGCTGCGAACCTTAAGGTCAGCGGTTCGAAACTACCAGCCACTCCACGGGAGAAAGATGAGGCTTTCTACTCCCATAAAGATTTACACCCTCGGAAACCCTGTACAGGGTCGCTATGGGTCGGAACCGACTCGATGGCACTTAACAACAAACAACAACATGTCTATATATATGCAGCACGCACAAATGTGTATACACATATGCCTACACATACACCTATACATGCCTGTGCATTTACTCACATATACAGAGAGAGTCCTGGTGTGGCACTGTAGGATAAGAAAATGGACTGTGAACCACAAATCTTTGCTCTTGGATAAATGCTGCCCTTTTGATCTCAAATTGTTGATTATTCTAACGTTCAAATCCTCTAGCTGCTCCTCTGAAACTTTATACTGAGTTCCTATGAGTTGGAACCGATTCAATGACATATAACAACAACACCTTCTATATACATATATGCATATAAATATATATGTGGAGTCCCGGTGTGGTGCTGTGGGTTAATGCACTAGATTGCAAAGTGTGTTTGAACCACAAGGTTGGTGATTCAAGCTCACTAGCTGGCCCTTGGAAACCTTATACAGGGTCACTACCTGACTCGATTGGCACTTAAAACAACAAACAACAATATATATATATATAAAACCACATTCATAACAGTATCACAAGGTACTATTGTTGCAAAGTTACATATGTTCTAGCGTTCACTGAACCAATGGTACTAAAGGAAGAAATCCAAGCTGCACTGAAAGCATTGACAAAAAACAAACCTCCAGGAATTAATGAAATAGAAGTAGAATAGCTAGAAATCATTCAACAACCTGATACAGCAGTAAAAACACTCACTTGTCTGTACCCTTTTTTTTTTGTATACTTTTTGGTATCTTTATTTGTCTTGGTCAAGTTGGTGCTGACTTCACCCATCCTTAGTATTACCTTTCTTGTCACCAGAAATAGTGTGTTGGTGGTGGTGGTTATGTGCTGCCAAGTCGATTTTGACCCATAATGACCTTTTATAGGGTTTCCAGGGCTGCAAATCTTTTTAAGGGAACAGAAGGTCTCATCTTTCTCCCACAGAGTGGCTAGTGGATTCGAATTGCTGACCTTGCAGTTAATGGCCAACCACTCCAATCCCTGGTAACTATCAATAAAATGTTGCTTTCTGCATGTGTATATCTACTATTGTTTTTTTTTTTATTATTATAGTGGAACCATGTAATATGCATCCTTTGTGATTGATTGATTTTACTCAGTACAATGTACTCCAGGCTCATCTACATTACAAGAGATTTTGTGAACTTCTCATTATCACATTGTATGTGTATCTGTTGTTGAGCACTTAAGATTGATTCTATCTTTTTGATGTTGTGATTAATAAGGCCATTGACGTGTCCCTGCTCTTATCTCTCTGAGATAGATACCCAGAAGTTGGATGCTAGATCATAGGTATTTCTATTTCTAGCTTACTGAGGAAGAGTCACTCCGTTTTCCATAGTGGTTGTACTATTTCACAATTCTATCAGTAATGCATAACAATTCCAATCTCCACACAACCTCATCAGTATTTGTTGTTTTTATTTTATTTATTTATTTATTTATTTTGACCATTGTAATTTTTAATAGGGGTGAGATAGTATCTCCTTGTAGTTTTGCTGGTATCTCTAATGGCTAATGATCATGAGTGTCTTTTCATACTTGTTGGCTGCCTGAATGTCATCTTTGGTAAAGTGTCTGTTCATATCCTTAGCCATATTTTTTATTATTGGGGGATAGGTGTTTGCCTTTCTGTTGTTGAGATGTTGGAATTTTCTATATATTTTAGGGATTATACCCTTATCTGATATGTCATTGTCAAAGAATTTTTTCCCATCCATAGGTTCTCTTTATACTGTCTTGGTAAGGTCTTTCGATGAGCATAATTTTTAGGATGCCTCATTTATCTAATTTATCATCTGTCATTCATGAATTTTTACTTGTCATGGATAGGCTGTCAATGTCAAAAATTACATCCCCTAACCTTTGTCTCTGCTATCTTCCAGGAACTTTATGTTGTTGTTGTTAGGTGCCATTGAGACTCACAGCAACCCTAGGCACAGCAGAATGAGACACTGTCCGATCCTGGGCCAACCTTACTATTGTTGCCATGCTTGAGTCCATCGATGCTGCTACTTGGCCAATTCATCTCATTGGGAGCCTTCCTCTTTTTCTCTGACACTCCAACTTACCGAACATGATATCTTTCTCCAGCAACTGGTCCCTCCTGACAATATGTCCAAACTATGAGAGATGAAGTTTGGCCATCTTGGCCTTCAAGGAGCACTCTGGCTGCACTTCTTCCAACACGGATCTGTTGGTTCTTTTGGCAGCCCTTCAATATTCTCTTCCAACACCATAACTCTAAAGCTTCAATTCTTCTATGGTCTTCCTTATTCACTGTGCAGCTTTTGCATGCATATGAGGTTATTGAAAATACCATGGTTTGGGTCTGGCACACCTTAGTCTTCAAGCTGACATCTTTGCTCTTCAACACTTTAAAAAAGGTCTTGTGTAGCAGACTTGCCCAATGCAATACATCATTTGATTTCTTGACTGCTGCTTCCATGAGTGTTGATAGTTGATCCAAGAAGAATGAAGTCCTTGACAACTTCAATCTTTTCTCCGTTGATAAGAATGTTGTTTATTGGTCCAGAGGTTAGGATTTTTGTTTTCTTGACATTGAGATATAATCCATACCGAAGGCTGTGTTCTTTGATCTTCATCAGTAAATGTTTTAAGTCCTCTTCACTTTCAACAAGCAAGGTTGTATTATCTGCATATCACAAGTTGTTAATGAATCTTCCTCTAATCCTGATGCCATGTTTTTCTTCATATAACCCAGCTTCTTGGATTACTTGCTCAGCATACAGGTTGAATTAGTATGGTGAAAGAGTACAACCTTTTTTAATTTTAAACCATTCAGTGTTTCCATGTTCCGTTTGAACAGCTGCCTCTTGGTCCAGGTACAGATTCCTCATGAGTACAATTAAGTGTTCTAAAATACTCATACTTCGCAATGTTGTCCATAGCTTGTCATGATCCACACAATAGAAAGCCTTTGTGTAGTCAATAAAGCATAGGTAAACATCTTTCTGATACTCTCTGTTTTCAGCCAAGATCCATCGGACATCAGCAATGATATCCCTCATTCCACAGCCTCTTCTGAATCTGTCTTGAACATCTGGAAGTTCTCTGTCAATGTATGCTTGCAGCCATTTCTGTATTACCTTTAGTAAAACTTCACTCACATGGGATATCATAGAGATTGCGCGATGAATTCTGCATTCCATTGGGTCACCTCTCTTTGGAATGGGCACAAATATGGATCTCTTCCAATCAGTCAGCCAGCTAGTTGTCGTCCAAATTTCTTGGCAGAGATGAATGAGTGCCTCCTGTGCCACCTCAGGAGCTTAATTACAGCGTTTGTTTTTGAATTTTTTCATTGTACTTTGAGTGATAATGTACCGAGCAGATTGGTTTTCCATTCAACAATTCATACCCATTTTGTTTTGTGACATTGATTTCAATTCCCATAATGTAACAGTGCTCTTTCCACTTGCTCCCATTCCTTCACTTAAACTCATCTTTAGGGGTCTCTTACATCACCACTCCTGTGAGTAAAAGTAAGCGACACAGGTGACTTAAAAGAGGGAAACAAAAAAAAAAAAGCGAAGTCAAACTAAAGTTCAGTGGAGTCGAGTCAATTATGAGGAGCAGTTGGTGAGTTTGAACCGCTAACCTTGTGGCTAGCAGTCCAGTGCTTATTATAAAGTGCCACATCAGAAAATGGGCACGTGAATAGCAATGGAGATAAAGGAGAGTGGAGAAAGTTACACTTTGGGAGAGACTTGGGAGACAGGTGACATAAAGAGCCATAAAACAAAGTGACAGTGACTTTCAGCCTCAGTTTCATCATCTCTCTCTCTCTCTCATCACTTTTTTCATCCCATTCTTTGACAACCTGCAGGTACACAACTTGTTGTTATGTGCCGTGGAGTCGATTCCGACTCATAGCGACCCTGTACAGGGTTTCCGAGGCTGTAAATCTTTACGGGAGCAGAAAGCCTCATCTTTCTCCCGCGGAGCAGCGCACACAACTAAAAGAGGATAATAGCTAGGTGAGGCTGAGAGGCCCTGCCCCAGAGCTGTGATCCTGGCGAGTTCCGCCCTTGGTACAGACACCCTTTGAAAAGAGGAGGCATCAGGGTAGCAAGCGGAACCCAATCGCTGGGCTGAGGTTGCAACTCGACGCGGGAACGCAGGGCAATGGACGCTTACGCTTGTGCGCGGCGGCGTTTCCGTCCCCACCGGAGGCATCGGCTGCCTTCGGAAGTGTTGGATCTTGTATCAGCTTCACTCTTGAGCCACTTCTGGTCCCTCTCCTTGGGGTCTGAGGGCGGCGCAAGAAACATTGGAGGCGGGACAGGGGTAGCACCATCTGACTGTGGACCAGGGAGTGAGGAAGACAGCAAAGGTCCGAACCAGGTGCATCGAGTGTTCCCTCGGATCAAGACCATCACCCTAATCTAACACTGACCTGCGGATCGGGAACCGTGGCGGTCTGCAGGGGGTAAACAAGATTTTGAAGAAAGAGATTTAATCAGCTCTGCAGAACCATTGCTGTTACACCCTGCCACCACACACACAAAATTAAAAAAAAAAAAAAAAAAAAAAAACAGATGAAGAAATTAAGGCTTAAGGAGCTAGAGAGTCGCCTGCAACAAGTGGATGGATTCGAAAAGCCCAAACTACTTCTAGAACAGTATCCGACCAGGCCTCACATTGCAGGTAGGGTAGCTAGTGATCTGAGCTCTTTCTGTGTTAGTCCTGTGTGCTCACTAAACCAAAAAACAAACTCTGACACTAAATCTTTACGAGAGCAGACTGCCTTCTCTTTCTTCCATGGAGCAACTACTCCTTAAATGCCGCCAAGTCAGTTCTGACTCATAGTGACCCTGTACAGAGTTTCTGAGGAGCAGCTGGTGGGTTTGAACTGCCAAGTGCTTTATCCTACAGCACCACACCAGAAGTCCAACTAGTTGTTCTAAATGCCTTCAAGTAGATTCCGACTCATAGTGACCCTGTATAGGGTTTCCAAGGAGCATCTCGAGAGCTTGAACCACCATCTTGCAGTCTAGCGCATTAACCCACAGAGTCACACCAGACGATAAAAATTGAACAATTATTTGAATACAAAGAGTGGCTAGAGAAATTCAGCCTCCAAAATCACCTATGCGTTAGAGAAGCCTTTTCTACACCTTTGCTATCTTACCTTCTAATATATCCTTTGAAACTGTCAGGCATTTGTGTTTGTTAGTTTCTCTCTTTAGATTGTAAACGGTTTTGTTGACTTTTTCTTTTTTTTAACTCTTTGTAACTTGAGTGAAAATTTACAGACAAGATCATCAGTTTTACATTCAACAGATCAGACGTTTTGTTTCATCTCAGTCTCTTCCATGGAACAATGGTTATCTGGCTTTCTCCCTGTGGTTCTATTTCTATCCCACCCACCTTCCTTTCCCTTCTCCACTTTGTTCTTAGGTAAATGTTGCCCTTTTGATTTTGAATAATTGACTGTTCCATCATTCTACAGGGTAATACACTGGACCAAGGTTGATTTGAATTGCAAGGTCAGCATTTCAAACCCACCAGCTGCTTCTTGGAAACCCTATACAAAGTAGCTATAAGTCGGAACCAACTCGATGGCACTTAACAAGAACAGCCTATCATAACTAGTGTTGTCCCCCTTATATACCTGTCTACTGCTTGGCTGAAAATTGGGCCATTAGGGTGAGTTCCTTTCCAGATCTGAAGGGTGGTTGAGGGCCATAGTCTCAGGTTCCTGCATTCTTTCTGACCATTAAGCCCCACTTTTTTTTTTTATAATTTTGAGTTTTGTTCCACATAACCAATCTATCTAGGACCTTCTGATGTGAACCCTTTCAGAACACTTGGTAGTGGTAGCCAGGCACCATCTAATTCTTCTGGTCTCAGAGTCGTGGAGACTGATGTTCTTCACATGTACTATTGATCTGTTGGATTAATTGATTCCAAGCCTTTTCAGTTCAGTTCTCATCTCTTTTCATTCTTTTGCACATGGAGAGACCAATAGATGCACATTAGGTGTCTGCTCATGAGCTTTTTAGATCCCAGACTCTATTCACCATAGTTGAATGTAGAGCATTGTCTTTATGGACTGTGTTTAATGCCAACTGACCGTGGTGTCTCCTGAGACTATGGTTCTGAGCCCCTTAGGCCCAGCAACTCATTGTCTTAAGATGTCAGTGTAAAACATCTTTTGAATATCTACAATGATGTGTAAGAATTTAGTCGATTTATATCATCCTACTTTCCTTCCCTTCCTCCCAAAATAACTGTACTGCTACTTTTATTTTGTTAATTACCTCTAACCCCTTCTCAATGTAATTGCTTTGCTACTTTTACTGCTTTGTGGACTGCCTTTATAACTTTAAATAATATACTTTGCTTCATGTAAGTGTAGCTTTTCCTTAAAAGTAAATTATTTTGTGTCGGCAAGCGTTAAGCATTGCTGTGTCCTAAGTGTGCTGACATTTTTAAATGGTGTATTTAGGTATGAATTTTTTTCTTTTTTCAGATTTACATACTTTGTACAAACAGAAGTGCCCCTTCTGGTTTAAAGGTTATGCCTCCCTTCAGCTCTAAGAGATGCTTATGTGTAGTTGGTTTGACAAATTAAATCTGTATAGTAACCTCTCTTTCTAGAATACTTGTTAATTTCATACTGAATTAATTCTCTCTGACTCATCTCTCATATTTTCTGGACCCTTTTTAAGGAAATTTGAAAGATTCTTTCACATTTTTCTTCTAACCATTCTATTGAATTTTTTTTCAGGAATTGGTAGTTTTTTTTTTCTGTATCTTTCTATACCCTATTTTCTTGTCCTACATTGTTGTTGTTGTTGTTGTTGTTAAGTACTTATGGAGTCAGTTCCAACTCATAGTGATCTTGCACAGGGTTTCCAAGGCTGTAAATCTTTACAGGAGCAAAAAGCCTCATCTTTAAATTCTGGTCAGATTTGTATCAAGTTATTCCATTTTTTAAAAGGACGTATTTTTAAATCTAAAAAGTTCAAACTTACATGAAAAAAATGATCCGTAAAATATCTCTTTCCTTCTGAAGTTTTTATAATGCACTGTTATTAACCTGTGTTTTACAACTAAATCCAAGCGACCAGTTCTGACAAATAATTCTGAGACTGTTCTTTCACCACTGATTAAGACTGAGAGAGATGGTGGTTGTTAAGTGCTGTGGAGTCAGTTCCTACTCAGAGCGACCCTGGGTAGGGTTTTCAAGGAGCAACAGGTAAGTTTGAACCACCAACCTTGCTGTTCAAACTGACCTTGAGGTCCAGTGTGTATCCTACAGAACCACACCAGGACTCCAAGACTGGGTGGCAAATATTAATAACAGTATCACTTTAGTCATCTGAGTTTTCTTAGTAGACTTTGTATTACAAAAATATATATTTGTTGTTGTTGTTAGGTACCATCAAGTCGATACTGACTCATAGCGACCCCATGCATAGCAGAATAAAACATTGCCTGGTCCTGTGCCAGCCTCACAATTGTTGCTCTACTTGAGCCCATTGCTGCTGCCACTGTGCCAATCCATCTTGTTGTGAGTCTTCCTCTTTTTCTCCGACCCTCCGCTTTACCAAGCATGATATCCTTCTCCAGGGACTGATTCTGCTTAATAATAAATAGGTCTAAAGTATGAGAGACAAAGTCTGGCCAACCTGACTTTTAAGGTGCATCTGGCTGTACTTTTTCCAACACAGATTTGTTCTTTTGGCAGTCCATGGTACATTTAATATTCCAACACCATAACTCAAATGCATCAATTCTTCTACAGTCTTCTTTACTCACTGTCCAACTTTCACATGCATATGTATAAGTAGAAATATATTTTAGTATTTGACTTAGGTAATGAGAAATATATACCTTTTTGTGTCAAGCTCCCTGTACACATGTGGGCATGGTGGGAACCATGTAAATCATGGCATCATTATTTGATTTAAGGAATTTGGGGCCATGTTACAACTGCATATCTGAATGATGATCAGTTTCCTCCAAGTTAGTGAACTTGTAAGCAATGTGAGCACCACAACGCACCACAAAGCAGCACAACGCAGTCAGCAGTGACTTGGCTTAGATGGTTCTGGATGATCACTTGAGCAGGGAAGCTGACGGCTCCTGTGAGTAGGCTGTCTTTACTATGACCAGCCAAACTGCCATGGCCAACGTCTTTGACAGGCACTTTTTTAACACTGACACCCAGTTTGTCAACAAGTAGGGCTTTACATAACTCTTTACAGTGCATTTCTGTAGACTTTACTCAGACAACCAACATTAGCTGAAGCAAAGCTGGCCGCCGTAACAATAAGATCAGTAGCCTTATTGTGACCCATGGGCACAGAATAAGTACTACTAATTTTTAGACAGTTTACAGGGGCAGTTGGGAGATTGAACAAGATGGTGACACAATATGACCCAGAGTTTCTCTAGCCATCCTTTCAAATAGCTCTTGAACCAAGGCATATTGGCACTTAATTGTCATAATTCCAAACAAAACTTGGTGCAGAACTGTGTTTGGGTTGAGGCTAGTTCTCACAGTTTAGATAATTGCTCTCTGACTGCAAGGTTTCTTCTTGTTAGAAGCCTTTGAGTTGGGTCTAGGATCCTGTGCACAACAGAACAAAACACTGCCCCACCCTGCCCCATCCTCGTAATTGTTACATTTGAGCCCATTGTTGTTGCCACTGTTCCAATCCATCCTGTTGGGGTTCTCCTTCTTTTTTGGTGACCCTCTACTTTACCAAGCATAATGTCCAAAGTACAAGAACAAGGACTCACCATCTTGGCTTCTAAGGAGCATTCTAGCTATACTTCCAGTACAGATTTGTTCTTTCTCCTGGCTCTGCATGGTACTTTTAATATTCTCTAACTCCATAACTCAAATGTGTCACTTTTTTTTACAGTCTTCCTTATTCATTGTCCAACTTTAACACACATATGAGGTAAATGAAAATACCATGGCTTGTGTCAGGTGAACCTAAATGCTCAAAATGACATCCTTGCTCTTGAACACTTGAAAAAGGTCTTTTGCAGCAGATTTACCTAAAGCAGTATGTTGTTTGTTGAGTGAGGGTTTACAAAAGAGCTCATCAGTTTTACATTCAACAATTCATACATACTTTGCTTCATTGCATGGTTGCAATCCTCTCCATGTACCAACAGTTAACAACATTAACCTCTGTTCAATTAAACTATTGCATTACTCTGTGCCTCCCACTACCTTCGTATTTCCTCTGCTAACCTCCCTCGATGTATATTTTCTGCCCTGTCACCTGTGTTAACATATGTCTGCCCTTTAGTCCTTTAGTCCATGAATTATCCCCCCACTAACAATCCTGGTATGGCACTGTGAGTTAATGCGCCAAACTGCAAAGCTGTTTGAACTGCAAGGTTCAAGCTCACCAGCTGCTCCTCGGAAACCCTATATAGGGTTGCTATGGGTCAGAACCAACTCTACTCGATGGCACTTCACAACAACAGTCATAGGGAGTCCTGGTGTGGCGCTGTGGGATAATGCGTCAGACTGCAAAGTCTTTTGAACTGCAAGGTCTGTGGTTCAAGCTCACCAGCTGCTCCTTGGAAACCCTATACAGGGTAGCTATGGGTCGGAATCAACTTGACGGCACGTAACAACAACAACAATCATAGATTGTTTCTTTTACCAAGAAAACTTTTTTTTTTTTAACTTTTTACAACATTGGCCTCTTAAAAAGTTTGTTCTTTTGTGGTTGACTAATTTCACTCCGTATAATGTCCTCCAGGTTCAACCATGTTGTAAAGTGTTTCACAGATCCATCCTTCATCTTCAGTGTTTTATAGTATTCCCTTTTGTGTGTCTACCACAGTTTGTTTAGTCATTCTGTTCATGGGCATTTAGGCTGTCTCCATCTTTTTGATATGTCTCTTATAGACAGTATATGGAAGGATCCTATTATATATTTTCTTTATGTTTCTTTACTGGTACATTTAATCCATTTACATTCAGTGTAATTATCAAGAGGTATGAATTGATAAAGGAGCTCTGTGGCGTAGTGGATTACAAGCTGAGCTGCTAACCCCAAGATCAGCAGGTTGACTCTATCAGCTGCTCTGCGAGAGAAAGGCTTTCTGCTCCCCATAAAGATTTACAGCTTCAGAAACCCTATGCAGGGTTGCCATGAGTTGGAGTCGGCTTGATGGCACTTAACAACTATAATTTTCAAAAATTGTTTGACAGACTTTCTTTTTAATGTCTTTTCTGGAAGCTGTATTGAAGCCTGTCCATCATGGGTAACCCTGTTATTTGAAATATTGGTGGCATAGCTTCTAGCATCATAGTAACATGCAACCACTACAATACAACAGATTGACAGACAGGTGGCAATTAAGTTGGTTCTGACCCATAGCGGCCCTGTATAGGGTTTCCAAGGAGCGGACTGCTGAGCTTGAACCACTGACCTTGCATTTCAAACTGGCTTTGCAGTCCAGCCCATTGACCCACAGCACCACACTAGCACTCATACTTAGCCTTCACTATATCTGTGACTTGTGTTTCTAGAAGATTCTAGCTTCTGCTCTGCTCCTTAGTATTTCTCTTATCAAATAAAACTCATTTGTAGATTATATGTGTGTGTGGATCAGGTATGTTGTTGTTAGGTGCCATCAAGTCCATTCTGACTCATAGTGACTCTGCATCGGGTTTCTGAGGCTGTAAATAGTTGGAGCAGAAAGCCTCCTCTTTCTCCTGCAGTGCAGTTAGTGGGTTCAAACTGCCAACCTTGTGGGTCCCAGTTCAGTGCTTATCCTACAGAGCCACAAGTATACATGTGCCTAAAGGCTACATGGCTGATGTGTTTTCCCATTCTAGCTTGAATTCATACTTGTCTTGATAACAAAATTGTTGTAAATAAAATGTGATTTTTTTATGTTAATTCTTGTTTGATCTGAGTGATTCCCAAAATTTTGGACTTCACAGATTAGTAAAACTTGAAAACAACTTAGACTGATGTACAGTTGCAAAATTTACTTTTTGACAAGGATATTTTTTTAAAACCTGTTTACTCTTATTATCCATTTATCATATATAAAAATATTTTGATATCAAAGAAAGAACTGCTAATACACATACAAGGGGGCTTCAAAAAGTTTGTGGAAAATTTCATTATTATTTTAATTCCACTTTTCCACTGGCATTTTGGGGCATATATATTTCTTTTGTTATCAGGTTTTCTGGGTAAATAAAGCAAGCTTTGGAAGTAGGACAATTCACTGTAAGATCACACAGACACATGTATGTGTAGGTGATATTTTAAATAGACTGAAGAAAAATAAAACATTTTGACCTTATTTTTTTCTTTTTATGTCACAGACTGGTTAAACTACTGTCATTATTGGCATCATTAGTAAAAACTAACTTTTGGAAACCACCACTACATGTTGGACTCCTGGTGTGGAGCTGTAAGATCAGCAGTGGACTGTGAACCACAAGGTCAGCAGGTCAAACCCACCACATGCTCTTCGTAAAGCCTGTGTAGAGTCGCTATGAGTTGGAATACTCAGTGGCACTTAATGACAACAAAAACGTTATGTGTTAGCCTGTTTTGTGGTGCTTCTTACTACATACCAAGTGTTGTTAAATGCCATTGAGTCAATTCCAACTCACAGCAACCCTACATAAAATTTCTGAGGCTTTAAAAACAAATCTTTGTGGAACCCAAAAGCCTCATCTTTTTCCCACAGGGTTCAAGCCTCTGACTTTGTGATTCACAGTCCATTGCTTATCGTATAGAGCCATCATACCCCACATACCAAGATGTTGTTGTTGTGAAGTGCCATCGAGTTGGTTCCAACCCATAGCGACCCTGTAAAGGGTTTCCAAGGAGCAGCTGGTTAGCTTGAACTGCCTACCATGCAGTTCAAATGGCTTTGCAGTCTGGCACATTAACCCACAGTGCCACACCAGGACTCCACATACCAAGTAATACCCCTCATTTTCTTAGTGTTCTGAAACAGGAGGACAAAATAATAATATAAGACAGAAAAAGTTATTTTAGAAATGGTCATTTACAAATATGAGATTTTGCTTACTTATTCCTAATATGTATTTTTATCTTGTAGCATGTATGCTGTATACAATCCATAACACATATGATGACATTGAAAATAAAGTGGTTGCAGATCTAGGATGTGGTTGTGGCGTGCTTAGCATCGGAACTGCAATGTTGGGAGCAGGGTAGGTGACCTAGTCTATAATAGTAAAGCTATAAGAAGCATTTATTTATTTTTTAAAGCTTTTATTCTGAATTGAGTGATATTACATGACAGAACATTGGTTTTACACTCAACCAATCATATTTTGTTTCATTGCAATGATTACAATCCCCTCCATATGCCATCCGTTAACAGTATTTGCCTCTATTCCCTTTTTTTTTTTTAATGTACACAAGACACATAGAAATGTATATTCATTTAAACAACCAAAGGGCACATTTTGCAAGCCAGCCTCTCCTGCCCGCCAGCAAACAGCCTTTATCTTTCTATGGTCTAGAGTCTTCAGCTGCTCTCTCTTTCCATGCCATCACCTCTGCCTCCATATCTGATGTCCCTGCTTCTCTGGTTAGGACCCCATGCTCCACTCATACTTTTCCCTTTTGATGATTTGAGGGTCTTCTGTTCCTGGAATGAAAGATTAACTACTTACCCCTTTTTGTTATACATCTTCTACCTTTATAGTTGTGACAGTCGCAATTAGGCATAACAATTACTCACTGTTGAATCAAAAGAATCCTATCCCCAACCTCGCCCATCCCCTTTTACCAGACCCATCTAGACAAGATAGAAATTATTCAATGGGGATTCTACCCTCTCCCACTCACTCTGAAACTAAGTACACTCTTGAAAACTTGTTAGCCAGCCACTTCCTGTCTTTATGTTGTTGTTGTTGAGTTGGTTCCAACCCATAGGGACCCTGTATAGGGTTTCCAAGGAGCAACTGGTGAGCCTGCCTTTATAGCCCCCCATTTTACGTAGCCAGTGTCTTAAGTTGCCCATCCCTATCAACCTTGTGTACTAAGGGGATAGGTTTGACCCTGATGTGAAGATTTCTTCCCTCTCATTGGGTATTTTGAACAACTATATCCATAAGCAAAGGCCAAGTTCATCAAATTGTAGCAATTTACACTTGCTTCCTGTATCAAACTTCTTTATCTTTCTCTAGTTGAGTTCTGATCAGCAAGCCATCCAATCTAGGTCAAAAGGGTACTATCTGCAAGTTTGGGTGTTCTTGCATGTCTCCCCCTACTTCATATCAGCTGGTCACTTCACTCATCTTTAGCTGCCAGTGGCTAGGTCAGTGTTCATGGGCTCAGGAGTTCCCAGGTCTCCCCAAACTTCAGACCAACAAGTTCTTCCTCTTCTCTCATCTCAAAGTCAACAGGAGTCTATGGAACATGATCGAACTCAGCCCGTCTTCATTACTGATTTTCCCCCACTTCCAATCACAAGTAGGCCAAGGTGGTCACCAGCAAGCTTATAAGCCTTCTCATGTGTTCCCTTTGAGTTTCAGTCTTGGAAGGGACTTTGTCCTAAGGACTGACTTTTCTTGCCTTGATGGCTCCCAGGTGAACAGCTTGCTTATTCTTGTAATAGCCAAACAGTCTGCTTGTTTGTCCTGCTGGTCTTTCTTTCAAGAAGTATCTTCTGTTCCTCTAGCCACTCCAGGTTGGTCTGCATGTCCTTTCAAGTGGGAATGTCCTATCTCAGAAGGTTCTGGATGGGGCTCAGGATTCCACCTAAGGGCCCATACTCTACAAAGACTTAACAAGAAGCATATTTCACTGGACAAATTCTAGAACGCCTTTTAGGTATTATAGTCAGTTATAGGCTGCAGACAGGCTTACAAGCTTTCTGTAATCATATTTTCCAATATTCCTTTCTATCCCACTTAAATGTCTTATTTTACAATAGTAGACAAGGGAAATTAATATCCACAATACAATCAAGCCCCTTAACATTATTTCCCCTTTTACCCATTCAGACTATGCCTTGATCCTTGTATCACAGACTTGTTCAAAGGTTGAGTATACATCACTATGTACCTCTGTCCCATTTAGCACATGCAAACCTACTTAAGTGTTCCCCTATCTTCCTAGTTAATAAGAAGCATTCATTATTACTAGGTGCCATTGAGTTGGTACCCACTCGAAGTGACCCTGTGCACAACAGAAAAAAACATTGTCTGGTTCTGTGCCAACCTCACAATCGTTGCTACGTTTAAGCCCATTGCTACTGCCACTGTGCCAGACCACCTCGCTGGAGGTCTTCCTCTTTTTCTCAACCCTCCACTTTACCAAACATGATATTCTTCTCCAGGGACTGGTCCCTCCTGACAATGTCCGAAGTATGAGAGACAAAGTCTGGTCTCCTGGCTTCCAGGGAGCACTCTGGCTGTACTTCTTCCAACACACATCGGTTCTTTTGGCAGTCCATGGCACTTTTCAGTATTTTCCTCCAACACCATAGCTCAATGCATCAATTTTTCTATGGTTTTCTTTACTCATTGTCTAACTTTCACATGAAAATACCTGGCTTTGGTCAGGTGCACCTTTGTCCTCAAACTAACATCTTTGCTCTTCAACATTTTAAAGAGGTCTTATGCAGCAGATTTACCTAAGGCAGTACCTATACTTTGATTTCTTGACTGCTGAAGCCCTTCCATGAGTGTTGATAGTTGATCCAAGCAAAATGAAGTCTTTGACAACTTCAGTCTTTTCTCCATTTATCTTATTTATTGGTCCAGTGTTGAGGATTTGTTTTCTTTACATCGAGGTGCAACCCTTATCAAAGTCTGTGGTCTTTGATCTTCACCATAAATATTTTAAGTCCTCTTCCTTTTCAGCAAGCAAGGTTGTATCATCTGCGTATCTCAGGTTGTTAATGAGTCTTCCTCCAATCCTGATGCCACATTTTTCTTCATATAACCCAGCTTCTCGGATTATTTGCTCAGGATATAGATTGAATAAGTATGGTGAAAGAATACAACCCTGACACACTCCTTTCCAAATTTTAAATCACTCAGTTATATACTGAGTAAGCCTATGTAGGATCAATTGAGTTATATTTACAAGCTCCACAGTATGAAATTGAGGGAGCAAGAATGATACTGAATACGTTTTAAATAGGCATATCAGAAACTACCAAAAAGACAACAGCAACCAGATACGTCCTTTTTTTTTTTAAATTTGAGAGGTGTAAGTAGTTATGCTTTGTTTTGTGTTTATATAGATTGTGCGTTGGATTTGATATAGATGAAGATGCACTGGAAATATTTAATAGAAATGTGGAAGAATTTGATTTAACAAACATTGATATGGTTCAGTGTGATGTGAGCTCACTGTCTAATAGAATGTCCAAGTCATTTGACACAGTAATTATGAATCCTCCTTTTGGGACAAAGAATAATAAAGGTTAGTAACAAGAATCAGGTACACTGATGTATTTGTAGAAAAGTAAGATTTTATAGACTATACCATTGATCATGTGGATTAAGTGAGTTATTACTATTCATTATATAAGCGAGTCTCATAGCCATAGTTATTACAATTTCTATTTTTTCAATACGTCTTTGAGAACTGGAATTTTCAGTGTTATTCACAAATGTTTGTAAAGTCTTCTATTCACTTACACTGTTTTCAATGATTTGCTCGACCCTTATGATTATGAAACCTATAAAGAATTTTATACTTCTAGAAACTTTTAAATGCCTTTAACACATCCAGGGATTTCAACATGTGCCCATCAGTTACAGTGATTCCCTATGGCTCTTTTGTGTCTTGTGACCAGAATGATATGGAGTTAAGAAGAGGAGAAAAAGATGTGTAATAGTCACAAAGCCACCCTGTTGTTAAGTGCCGTCAAGTCTGTTCTGATGCATAGCAGCCCTGTATAGGGTTTCTAAGGCCCGTACATCTTTGCAAGAACAGAAAAAGCCTCATTTGTCTCTTCCAGAGTTCCTGGTGGGCTCAAAAAACCACCCTGGATGACTCCAATTTGTGCTCTTAATGATCCGTTTTCCCCCTTTGAAAATCATTTATTTAGTATATAACGTTTTTACTTTAGCCTTATTTAACCAAAACAGTATAAATTTTAGTTTAAGTCTATCAATTTCAAAAGGATATATTTATATTTTATTTGAAGCCTGTTCTATTACACAGAAAAACTGAAGTGGCTATTTTTAAGTTTGAGAAAAAGTTTTAAAATATTGATCTTCTATTTTGTTATGAAGTATATAATGTAAATAAAACGTTTCCCTCTTCTTCATAGGAACAGATATGGTTTTTCTGAAAACTGCTTTGGAAATGGCAAGAACAGCAGTATATTCTTTACACAAATCCTCCACCAGAGAAGTATGTTCAGTTTTTTATGACAGTGTTGTTAAGGATTTTGTGACATCCAGATGTCACAGTATCCATTTCTTCTCATGTTTTTAACATGTCACTTCCAAACCACCCCCAAATCCAAACCCATTACCATTGAGTCGGTTCCAACTCATAGCAATCCTACATGGGGTTTCTAAGACTATAAATATTTACAGGAGATAGCCTCATCCCCCACCCCCCACCCCAAGTGGCTAGTGAATCTGAACTACTGACCTTGCTTGCAGTTAGCTGCCCAATTCAGTAACAACATGTGGCATAACTAAGGTTACAATATATTCTGGTTTGTCAAGACCTGGCTGATACCTGTGCTCTTATATGGCCTCGTGTTAGGGAGACAATAAGGCTTGGCTTTTTAAGAATGCTGATCCTGGAGTTAAAACAGATCTGAGTTCAGATGCAATCTCCACTTATTCTTGCCAGCATATAGCACAAGTAAGTATTTAAGATGTGTATGAGGAAAGCTGAAGGAATTTTTTTTTTAAGCATTAGGATAACGTGATTAAAAACTCTGTGGAGCCAAACTGTCTAGATTTACATACAGGCTCTGCTGCTTTCCAACTGTGTTGTCTTGGTCAAGGTACATGAGCTTGTTTCTCACCTATAAAATGGAGCTACGAGTACCTTTTATACTTGATAGGTTGTTGTGAAGTTAATATTTACAAAGCATTTAGAACATTGTCTATTGCATGTAATTACGTGTTTGCTATTACTATTACTTAAAGCATACATATACAATGACTTTTCACTTGATATAGTTAGGTTCCAAAGCCCAAGTCATTATGCAAAAATTGGAGGATGACCACATCAGATCACAATATGATGACTAGATTATTACATAACTGCCAAACCACAGAATCATGACCCAACCAAGCTGACACATAACCTTAACCATTACAGCCAGTGTATATTCACTCAGCATATATTATGAAGTATATTGTTAATGCATAAAGTAGATGGGTAGATTTTTCTCCTGTTATCATAAATGGAAACTGAAAAGAGATCGTCAGGAGTATGTGCACAGAGAGTTAAAAAGTGAACACCGATATTTGTATCTGTAAGGCTTGTGCTTTCTTAATTTTTTTCAGAAATATTGCCATACAATTGAAGCTTTCATAGGGGTCTAAATTCTATTGAAAGTCATTGACTACTAACCTAACAGATGGTGGTTCAAACCCACCTAGTGGTAATGTAGAAGTCAGGCCTGTTAATCTTCTTCCATTAAGATTGTTAAGTGCCATGAGTCGGTTCTGATCCATAGCGACCCTGTATAGGGTTTCTGAAGAGCAGCTGATAGCAGGTTAATGCAGTGGGCTGTAAGGTTAGCAGTTCAAGCTCACCAGCAGCTCTTCAGAAAGTACACAGGGTCACTATGAGTCATAACTGACTCGATAACACTTAACAACAATCCATTAAGATTATAGCCTCAAAAACCCTATGGGGGTTGCCATCGGCTTGACAAATTAAAAAACATTATTAGTAAAGTCAAATTTAAAAGATGATGTTAAGATTAAATTTGTATTAACATGTTATTTATTCTCAGCATATAAAAAAAAAAGCGGCAGAATGGAAAATCAAGATAAATATTGTTGCAGGTAAGATGATGAATTTACTTTTCCCACAAACCCTAATTATCTAAATATGTATTAGCTAAATGTGTATGCAAATATTGAGAAAAGAAGGTACAAGATCTTTTTTTTTTTTTTAGTGTGGCAATATGTACATGGTCAGTTGTTATGTGCCGTGGAGTCGGTTCCGACTCATAGTGACCCTGTGTAGGGTTTCTGAGGCTGTAAATCTTTACAAGAGCAAAGAGCCTCATTTTCCTCCCGCAGAACAGCTGGTAGTTTTGAACTGCTGACCCTGAGGTTAGCAGGCTGATTTATAACCACTATGCTACCAGAGCTCCTTACATGGTTGGTAGTAGAATGAAAAGGGAGCAAAGGCTGAAGAACTACTTGAGACAGTCTCAATTTTGCATTTTTATAAAAACTTCAGAAAGCTTTTTCCACTTTCTTTTTGGAGGAGGAGAATATAAACACTCACACTATTATTATTGTGTTTGATAAATTTTATTGGTAAACTGGGTAATATTCACAAACATCAAAATGGGAAAAACTTAACTGGAAGCTAACTTTAATCCATATAATTTTGAACCTGAAGAGTGCAAGAAGGGAAAATGTCTTAAAAATGATAGCAGACTACAACTACTTATAAATAATTAGTAATGTAGGCCTGCTGTTGTATTTATATTCATTATTCTCATTTTTTACCTCACTTACAGTATTACAATATACAGTATGCACTTAGAAGTCCTAATAGTATTCCTAGCTAAAGCCTTGCTGTTCCAAGTGTCGTCCTCAGACCATCTGCTTTCATATCTCTTGGGAGCTTGTTAGAAATAATTTGGGGCATCACTAAAACCTTTTATAATCTGTGTTTCTAAATATTCCCAAGTGATTTGATTGCACATGAAAATCTGAGAAGCTGTGATACAGAGGGCTAGAATTAATGTGGCAAAAAATTAAGGATAGGCAGATTCATTGCTATCCCTCTCTAAAATTGATTAGCGTGATTAAAGAATTTGGAGAACCTACATTACTCTTGAAAAGGAAAACAACATAAAAATGGGTTTTCATTTGAGAGCTTTTAGTGGACAATAACTAGCTAAACTACCATTGCCAAAATCAAGATGAAAAAGTTTTTTAAAGCAAGCATGGTTATGAGAACATTAAAATTAAAACTGATGATCAGGAAATGAAAAAATAGAAATTTATTATTACTTTCATAGAATATACATATTTGTCTCTTTGTTACCTTTCTAAACTTCTCCCGTCTCAATATAAATGGCCAAAATTGTAGAAATAAGAAGCTCAGTTTGTCATGGCTAATCTTAAGGATACATCAAGTTAAACTTGGATGAGTTAACGTGGCATGAGTTAATGTTAAGCTTATAAGTAATTTATTACTTGTTTATTGTATCAGGCGGTTATATATTTTGAAATGTTAATGTTTTACAATAAGTGTTCTTCTGTTTTCCAGAACTGAGATATGATCTGCCAGCATCATACAAATTTCATAAAAAGAAATCAGTAAGTTTCTTAATTCTGGTCTAAGTATATACATTAAGAAATGTCTTTCAATAAGTAACTGTTTCTTCTGTTGCCAAGTTTTCTAGGTAAATAAGCAAGCCTAGGAAATAGGACAATTCACTAGAAAATGGGTTCATAATCAACAGCCAGCCAGTAATCTGGTTTAAGATAACAAATTCTTTAATGCTTTAGGCACAAAAACAAAAAGTTGGGGGGAAAAAAACTACTTGCTTTTTTATATAGCATATATTTTATTAAAGTTTATACTAATATATTCTCGTATTAAAAATGTAATTTAGTGGAAGAATCTTCCTTTTGAATCATTGATAGCAGTTATACATTTAAAAACATTTAATAACAAAAAAGACAAAACAACAAAAGTTTTTTCTTTTTTACAGGTGGACATTGAAGTGGACCTAATTCGATTTTCTTTTTGAAAATCCAGAGAGAAAAGTAGATTCAAACCTAAATAAAATGAATTCTAAAATGTTTACACTAAACTACTGGTTTCCTGTACCATTTTCTGTTTTCTGTTGTTTTGAGGCAGGCTCTTCTCTCTCTGGCTCTTCTCTTGCTCTTTTCACTGGTCCTAGACAATAACAGAATTCATTTGTTAAACTCAAGGGAAAATTATTACTCACTTTTACTACTGAGTACAATTCATAATAAAGATAATTTTTGTTTTTAAGATGATAGCAACTTCTTCCCTATACTGATGAGAAAAGTGTTTTTCTTTTCCAGATCGCCTTGTTTATCATTTGTCAAAAGTGTGTACAATGTTAATTCAAGAACCTCACTCTTAAGAAGTTGATAAAACCACACCGATTTCTCCTACAAAAAAATTCATAAAAGCAAAAAATTTCCCAAAAAACTAAATAGGTAGAAAAACTTACCAGCTGCACCGTTTTTATCACATTCATCATCACTATCAAATTTAGTTTTCTTTCCCTGAAACTGTATTTTTCCTTTAGCAGACCCCGCTTGGGCAACTTTATTTCCCTTTCCTTTTCCTTTAAATTTGCGACCTGTAGAGACATAATTGAAAATTAAGAAACTTAAATCTCTGGTCACTGTGTTTTGGAACAAGGATATTAAATGAGTTAATATAACCAAACTGAGATAAATTAAAAGTAATGACCTTTTGACTTCCATTTGTTTAGAGATTCTTGTTGATCTTCCATAATTTTTTTCAATGCTGCTTTTTCTACCTCTCCTTCTAGTACTTCCCAGGTCACTTCTTTGTTCTTTAATTGTAGGTTACCATTACTTGCATCCTTGGCTTTATCCAATACTTCTTTAGCTTTTTCTTTAAACAGAATTACTCCCTACACCAAATGTGGAAAACAAAGACATACCCTTAGTCTGCAGTACTTGTTTTTCTTCATTCAAACTCATTTTTCCCACCCTGTAATTCTCCCATATACCATCACAGTATCAATGGATTTTACTGAGCATTATCTAATAACAGTAATACACTTATAAATAAGTAAAACTATTAAAAGAGTAATTTACTATAGTTTTCAAACCTCTTTTGCTCCTCTGACAAAGTCTATCCACTTGATTTCTCCATGATCAGAGAATAGGCTGTGCAAATCTTCTCTACACGTCTGATCGTCTAAATCACCTGAAAATTTCAGTAAGCAGCCCATCTTTTCTTCTAGAGATTTCTACAATATACAAGGGAATCAAATAATTTCTTAAAGTAACCACAACAAATGGCTCAACATTCTATACCAATAAAATGAAAACACTAGATAATGAAAATACTATTTTAAAGTAGTTTAACAATTAAACATATTTTTTATTCTTCTACAGTGGCTTCTCAATTTAACTTATTTCTTCTGCAAGTGACAGTTATTATCTAAATTTGGCTATTACACTACTTTGCTGGATAAGTACTTTTAGCCAGTGTTATTTATAAATTACAATTACTATAGGTTTGTTTTACATAGTTTATAGCTTTCCTGAATACCAGTAATAGTTATACTTACCATTTCAGCATCTTCTGCTAACTTCTGTTTTTCTTCTTGCTCTCTACAAATAAGAACATTGACACCAGAACCTCTTTCATTTAATATATAAGGAAACGAAATCCTAATGAAGTTAATCTTGACCACTATCTGGACCTCAGGTTTTAAATGTCCAATGCTAGACTGCAACATAATATGCCCCCAGAATATCGAGGAAGCCTAAGCCCCTAATGTTTCACTACCAAAAGAAAGGCTTATTGTCACCAATTTCAAAGCTGCTCATCGGCTCTTCCCAGAACTACCTCTACTATAGTCAAACCTTTAAGAAACTCCAATGTATGATAGTGCAACATGCTGACAGTACTCACTGTTTAGCTCGTAATTTAGCTTCCACTTTATTTTGCTTTCTTTCTTCATTCTTTTTTGCAAAGTAATCTTCCCTAAAGGATACAAAATACAGAGATTAAACTCCTGAGAACAAAGACTGCAAATTACTTTTTAAAAAATTTTTAGCACATAGAAAGGAATACTTAACACATTGTTTAATACAATTAATTAATCAACGGGCAAATTCAAAATATGCCAAGGGAGCTACTTCAACACCCTAGAAACTCTGTATGCATTAGCAGTCTTTCATGTTGGTTTTTATCATTCACGTATTAAACAAACCAAGGCTTCTGAGTTGATTTCAACTAAGTGACATGATAGGACATAAAGCAGAACTGCCCCATAGGGTTTCCAAGGCTGCAAGTGTTTACGGAAGCAGACTGCCATGTCTTATTCTTATGATACACCTAGTGGGTTCAAACTACCGGCATAGTGGTTCATAACTGAGTCCTTAACTACTGAGCCACCAGAGATCCCATATGGGGGTGGGATAAGAGGGTGCAAATTAGGTCATGTGGCACTATAGGATAAGCACTGGATTGCAAGGTTAGTTCGAACCACAAGGTTGGTGATTCAAATCCATCAGCTGCTCCTCAGAAACCCTATACTGGGTCATTATGTATTGGGCCCAACTCGACAGCACTTAACAATAAATACTTAATTGTTGCATGGTAGTGGTGGTGGTTATGTGCTGTGGAGTGGGTTCTGAACTGTCACTGTTGTTGCTAAGCACCATCAAGTTGGTTCTGACTCATAGCAACCCTGTATAGGGTTTCTGAGGAGCAGCTAGTGAGCTTGAAATGCCGACCTAGCAGTTCAAATAGCTTTGCAGTCTGGCACATTAACCCACAGCACCATACCAGGACACCATGGTGACCCATATAAAGTTTCTGAGGCTGTAAATCTTTATGGAATCAGAAAGCATCATCTTCCTCCTGCAGAACTGCTGGTAGTTTCAAACTGCTGACCATGAGAAACTACCAGCAGTTCTGTAGGAGAAAGATGATGTCCAACTCCTAACCACTATACTACCAGATCTCCTTTAATATTGCACATAATTTTTTATAATACTTCAATTCACCAAAGGAGAAAATTCTAAAATTCCATCAAGGAATAATTATGAAAATCACAGGCAAAAACATAATTTGGAAGGTGTTAAACATTGATAACAAAATAAGAGAACTATGGCCCTGCAGTTTTAACATCAGCAAAGTGCCATGGTGTGTGATTTTTACGTGTTGCTGTGGAGTCAGTTCCGACTGTGCAATCCTGTTTAGAATTTCCAAGGCTGTAAATCTTTACAGAAGCAGAAGCCTTATTTATCTTCTCCTGTGGAGTAGATGGCAGATTCAAACTACTGACCTTTCAGTTAGCTGCCCAACTCATAGCCCACTACCCTACCAGGACTCCTCACATATACATACGGGTATACATATATTATGTTTGTGTCAAAAATATGATCCACATCTCTATTAAACAATCTTTTGTACAGTATATAAATGCAACCATGAACCCCTCAAACTACTTCTGAGGTAATTTTTAAACCAAAATTATATCCTGAAGTCATCTTTAGGCCAAATACCAACTTACATTAGCTACTAAAGAATGTTTACATCTAGAGTATTATGCTCATTTCAAGAATTATCTCTATATGATCTAGATGAGACATTTACAGGGAACTAAGTTTATGTTATTGTTGTTAGGTGCCCTCAGGTCAGTTCCAAATCACAGTGACCCTATGCACAACAGAACAAAACATTGCCTGGTCCTGCACCATCCTCTCAATTGTTACATTTCAATACTGCTGCTGCCACTGTGTCAATCTTGGGGAACTGCCTCCTTTTCACTGACCCTAAACTTAGCCAAGCACAATGTCCTTGTTTAGGAAGCAGTCCCCCTTGATAATATGTCTGAGGTATGAGATAGTCTCAACATCCTGGCTTCTAAGGAGCATTCTGGTTATATTTATTCCAACACAGACTTGTTTATTATTCTTAAGTCCAGGGTACTTTTAATATTATTCTCCAACATGATGATTCAAATGTATCATTCCTTATTCATTGTTGAATTTTCATATGCACATGAGGTGAATGAAAGCACCTTAGTCCTCAAACTGGCACCTTTGCCCATGAACTCTTTAAAGAGGTCTTGTGCAGCAGATGCACTTTATAGGTTAATGAGTCTTCCTCCAATCTTGATGCCATTCTTCTCCATATACTCCAGCTTCTCAATTTGCTTAATTTAAGTATGGTTAAACAATACAACCCTGATGCACAGATGTCCTGATTTTAAATCATTCATTGTCACTTCGTTCTGTTAGAACAAGGGCTAGGTACAGATTCCTCATGAATACAATGAAATGTTCTGAAATGCCCATTCTTCACAATATTATCCATAGTTTGCCATGATCCACACAACTAAAGGCCTTTACATAGTAAAAAAAGCACAAGTAAACATCTTTCTGGTATTCTCTTTCAGCCAACAGGCATCTGATGTCAGCAATGATATCCCTACTTCCATGTCCACATCAAAATAACAGTCTTGGCATCTTGGAGGGACTCAAATTGTATTCTTTTTATAATGTTCAAGTGTGGGGAACAAAAACAAGTCTGAAGGGGCAAGATCAGGGGCTGAATGGTGGGTGGGTTACATTCCTCAATGACATTCTCATCCCAGAGCCCTTGCTACCCTGAATAATGGGCAGGTGTATTAGAAAAAAATTCCTTGGTGCAACTTTCCAGGCCGTTTTTTCCACCAATGCAGTTTTCTGTTTTTAAAAAAACTACTCATAAGCCTCCATGATTATCCTCTGTCCTTCAAGACGATCTACCCAAAAAAGTCACCCTAACTTTCTGATTTGTGTGCTTTGTATTTAACTGGCCCAGCAAATCCCTTTAGAAACCACTGTTCTGACTGAATTTCAGTATTGTACTGGCAAGCCAAAAACCTGTCCTTAGTTTTGGTCTTGCTTAAAAGAGCGATAGAAAGATCAACTCTTAGAGCTAGCTGATTTTTGTGCAATGCTTTTGGCACTCATTGGCCAAAAGCTTACTGAGGCTAAGATGTTTGCTTAAAATTGAAAATGCCAAACCATATGAGAGCCCAATTTTAGCGGCTATCGTGTCAGTGGTAATTCT